ACTTATGTGCTGAATAGAAAGCCAAGTGGTATTCCTATTATAAACAAATAATATAAAACAAATCAGGAAAAATGTGTAAACAAGTAACCTATCTCTATTTTTCATTTATATGTATTTCCTACGAAAAATACTATTTTTCAAAAACTCGGAATATGTTCCGGTCCAATACAATATTCTTTTCTATTCGTTTTACAGTTAAGACAACAGAGCACGTTGTCGTTGCAGATCGTAGAACGATATAAACTTTCGGGAGACGGAAATTCCATGGCGGTACGTATATTTGCGAAGGCATGACGAGTGCAACGAGAATTTATTAGGTGTGTTTGCAGAGTAAATACGCGAGGAAAGGAAGCGTTTAAGGAAGATATTTACGAGCGGGCTGCTAAGAAAGATAGAAAGTGTCGTGGATTAATTCTAGAACCCAGAAACACGAAAGTTCGCACTCCATTGTTACAAAGGAACGAAGGTGAGCGTCATACCGTCGAAGTTACGAGTCAGAATAGCTCGTTTCATATCTGAACTTCTGGTGCGTCTGGAAAATGGAAGAGATAAGGTGTCCATTCATCGCCGAAATCAAGTCTGAAATCCTGTCACATTGCTTTCATTTGTGCAGTGAATTTTGAATCCATCACTTTATATTTACTCCTGGTGGATTTATAATTATACTGTGTTAAAATATATGGTATACAATGAAAGAATAGTTTTATCAAATCATAAAGTACTTCAGCACCACTTCATTAATCATAGTCCCTGGTCTCATACCTCGGTCATTACTAGAGGTAAGGGTAGACTTCAATAATCTTTAAGATCCCTTTCCAGATAATTATAACACCCACTAATTCATTTAACCGTAAATTTTGTTATCCAAGTTCTTCATATTCCTCTATGCCCATCTCTTTTGTACCATTGATCTCTGTTATATAAAATGAATAGTTCTCCGAAAATATACTGCTCAAAACATTTGGAAGATTTTCAATGCTCTACGTTCCATAAATGAACATCCTTCTCACACAATACCAATATGTAGTTTTGTTCTTAGAAAAACCTTTCCAACAACTAAAGGGTCCACTGCAAGAAAGAGCTATACCACAACAGTAGCGTTGTAAGATATTAAGGCTTCTTTGAAAAGAATACATTCGACACGAAGAGGTGCCAGAAGTAATAAACATTTCATTTTTCAACATTTGTATTGTACAATGCCATAACTGTTCTGGAAAGTGTACTATTTCTGTCTATTACTAATCACAAACTAGAAGAATAATAATAACAAATATACCTACTGAATATAACAGCACGTTATACACACAGTGATCACAATTAGTAAATAACTAAATACCTAAAATGGCGTAATCGGATTCTCACATCCCCCACAATTCCTTCCTTCCGCCTCCAAGCTCTTCACCTCTCACACTGACCTCCCACGCACGCGGTTCTTTTTATTCCTTCCTCCACCTGTTTCTCTTTACCCTCACCCAATCCCATTCTGCTCTTTGTTTCCATACGTTTCACCCCCTTCTCTCTTCCTCCACGCGTCACCCTTCGCTAATCCTATGCTCACACACTCTCCCTCCCCCCGCGACCCTTCGCCCGTTCACCCCTTCACTTTCTCCCGTTCAGCCGCCCCTTCGCGATCGCTCGGAAACGCCATAGACCTTCCCCAACCCTCTCCCTCTGCCCACCCACGCCCAACCCCCTGTCGGCCACGATGCAAGCATCACCTCGTGATTCCACGTGTGCGCGCTTTCACCGTGACAAAGCCAGATTTAAGCTCCGCTTACGAGTCGGAGCTTTCCAGCTGGCTCGAATTCGCACTGAGTCCGTTCTCGCTGCTCCATAACGATTCTGCTCTCCGTGACGTTTTGTTATCGGCCATAATAGACTGCGTTCCGCGGGGCTTGCTCCGAGATTTAGAGAGACGGGAGTACTAGCCACCCTCCCCCTCTAGCGAACATCGAATGATGGACGGAAAACAATCCTCGGCATTTGTGCGGCTGGTAACACCCGGCTATATCGACGGTTCGATAAATATTTCCCTCTGGGGGAAGGTACAAACCACCCTCTTATACGAGTCCTCTCTTTGGCTGAGTCCGAGTATTCTATTTTCCGATTGGTGCTGTGATTTGTAGCCCAAATAGGGTAGGTGTGTCTGAAGATGTGGGTCATTTTGGGCCCAGATTTGGACTAAAAGGGTATAGAAGGATAAGCATGATAAAAGTGTCCCCGAACCAAATTGAACTTGGAGATATCAATCGATAGACCCCTCAAAGAAAATCCTTTCTATCAATTCATATGTAGCGTTTTGTTTGGGGATACTTTTATTATGCTTATTCGGTAATAATCATTACAGAAATTTTTTGTATTACTTTTATGTGTTTAATTAATGTGGTGAAATAAACGTTATTGTAGATTTATGTTATAAGAAGGACCGAGTTGGCAATATTGTCTGATGAGTGTCGTTATTAATGCGAATTCACAGGATAATACTGTTTAGGAAACAGAGAGCTGAAGAGAAGCTCGTTTTCTGGATGGAATGTTTTATCAGATTGAAAGTGAGATTACAGACGTCGCGAAGCTAGATAATGCTTACGTTTTATTGATTTTCACATATCTGCAGGTGCGATAAACTTTGTAAGTCTACACGCAAAGATGAATCAAGGCTAATGTGATGGTTGAACTGCGAGCGTTTCTTGACATTTATATTTCTAGAGATTAATTTACCAAAACTAGAATTAAATAGAAACTTTTTTCTTCTGCCAACCATTTAACTAATTACAAAAGAAAGTAGAGCCTATGTTAGGCTTTATTAAAATTGTTATACGACTGCATTCGATCCAGTTACATCTGCATCCAGTAACAACCGTCAACACAGCTCCTACATTTTCAATAATAACAGAGTAGCAGCGTTTCCAAGACAATAGTGAATTGCAGAACACAGCTCCCAATATCATTAAAACTAATACAAGTCCGAGGTATGCAGGGCAAGGGTACAGAATGTCTGTTACAGCAACTGGGAACAAAAGAGGCAAGTTTCAGAGTTCAATAAATATTAGATTAACCGTTGGAAACTTCGAAGAGCAGAGTGTAAACTGCTGGAAGGGAAACGGAAACTTTCTTTCCCGGGATGAGCGTAAATATCTTTAAATAAAGGCAAACAGGGAATTCCATTTAAAAACCCACTTTCTGCAATATCTTCGCTGTATTGAGAAATGGCGGATTGTTGGTTAAGAGGAAATGATACAGAATTATTGAGAAACAAGATACCGTCGTTAAATGCAATCAATGAAAAGAAATAAAGACCGTCTGTTCTGATTTTAGGTATCGATCACGAGTTCCGTTATAATTCACCTGTAAGGTGCACCTGTTTCGTATTAATCTCGTTCGAGAGAATCGCGTCTTTCTCTTGGCCGGTGCTCTTGGTGACGGAAACGCTTTCAAGGCCAGTAGGTTAATTCGCCAAAATGACCGATCATCGTGGTCGCGATGAGAGGAAACGAAAAAATGGGGACGACGAGGTTTCTCGAGGAAAGAATTCGACCATGAAGAGTGGAAAATCGAATTACTCACAGTTGGAGTCGCCGAACTGCTGAACACGACATTAATGTCCGGTATGAGTTAATGGCAACGAGAGCACTCTTTTCATAGTAAATTAAAGTTGATTCGTTGGAAATTTTATGACCAGACGATTACGAGAGTAAGATAACTGTCCTTTTGAAGTTATGACTAGAAAAATGGAGTGAGCTGAAGTGACATTTCGCGCCTAATTACAGATTCTTAAGCCTTTAACGCCCAGACTCATAAATCGTTATTTTAAAATTATGCGACTGATATAAATATATATGTTGTACCTTGTTACTTGGAAATGGAGAATATCGATATTAAACAGACGTATTCTCTTCAATTTTTTTTATTTTTTTTTTGGAGGGAATACTGGACTTTATCGACTCAAAGCATCGAGATCTACTTGACATCAGTGAAACTACGAGTCCTTGCTAACAAAAGTTACATATTAACCGGTGACAGAATTTGACGCACTCTTAAAATGAGTGTTGTACCGGAACAACATTGAGCGTTAAAGGGTTAAATAGAATATTTGAAAAATTTGTATAGGTCAAGAAATGTTTCAATTACTTATAAAATAAACCAAATATAAAATTGTTACAGACAATAAAGGAAAGATAAGAGATCCTCTAATCTCGTAGAAGACTAGTACTAGACTAAGTAGAAACTCTTACTGTGCATCGAAGATTGGGTAAATTATGAAACTATTTCGTTAGAAAATTCAACAACTAATTGCACAAAGAATTAGGAGTATATAAATCTTTCTACAGATCCCAGATTCATTCTATCAATCATCCACCGAAAAAGTATATTTACACGCACGTGACCGTATGTAACGGCGACGACTGAATGGGTTCTAAATTTCAAGAATTCCCGGGGAATTAATAATTTCGTTTCGTCGGTCGAATGGTCTTCGAAAAAAAAAAAAAAAAAAGAATTGTTTAAGTGCTTGATTGAATGAGCAACCGAGGGGCAGTCGAGATAAACCCTGTTTACGCATCCCGTGAAAAGAGACGGACGTGGTGATCCAACGGAGGGTAGACCTCCCCACCCACCCAAAAAAAAGAGAAACGAACGATCGATCGTAACCGGAAAGGTCGAAAAGAACGGTGAAAAAAGAGATCGTACGGTGACAGGCACACGGGGAACACGGGCGAAAGAATGAAATAGACGACTTGACACCCCTCTAGTGTGCAATTCTGACGAGCTGGCAATTCGATCCTGAAACAGGACCCAGGAGACGGCATAAAGCTCACTCCAGGCTCGTTTGTTCTTTCTTTCTTCATTTTAACTCCCCTGGCCCCGAAACCCCACCCCCATTCCCCCACGACGACCACTTCGTCGATCGTTCGTCTTTCGCTATTTGTCTCGCGAGCGCGTCTCTTTTTGTCCCCGAGCCTCTGTCAGACCCCTCTCTTAAAGATTCAATTTAATTCACTCACCATGAAGGGCCTTCAAATATGCTTTGCCGGCGTTGATCAGCTGCCTCGCTCCTGGATTGAACTTTTCCAGGATGTTCTGCAATCAGAGAAAGAGGATTCTGTGCATTCTTGCTCGTATTTATCGAATTACAATTAAATAGTCTATTGTTGCTTCGGGACTTTCACTAGACTGAACTGGCCTGGGATGTTTTGCGATTGTAAGGGTATACTTGTATATATTTCAGTCTGTTTTATTTTCGTTCTATTGTGTTCTCACTGATTGTAGTGAAACTGTAGTTTTCACTGAACAGTGGACGTTTATGTGAATTCAAGTGTTTTGTAAAATAATTGTAATTAACTTTAAAGTAATTACTATTGAGATAAATAAACCGTAGATTACATATATTTGACCAAAACTTTCATTGCTATACGCTTCCCTAATACGTTTACACTTTTATGATAATAGAAGTGTATACCAGAAGAATCTCATTCAACTATTAATAAAAAGATATTACTCCAGCTTTAAAACTGGTTTCTCTGATACATAAAATATATTTCTTGGAATCGTTCTCGACATTCAGATTCAAGGCTGATATTCAAGAAAAGATGAAAGAAGAATTAAACATATATTCTAAAATTACAATCTTGAGTCATTGTATACCTAGTATGTATCACCTGAAGAAGAGACTTATGGAAAATCCATGCACGAAATTCGTTATTCATTCTTTTGTCGATAAGATACTTTAGCGTGTTAAATTATAATGTTACTAAATACAAGTAGTTGCACCCCAACAGCATAATATTGGCCGAAGTGATAAATTATATAAAGTGGTAAATAATGTTTCCAGTAAATCCAGTTCCGATGACTGCATCGTGTTAATTTAAAAATAATGACCTACGCAGTGGCAACTGTTTGAATCTGAGCGGTCCAGCCGTGTCTTCATCAGGCCTTGATCGATTGGCAGCCACGTTGGTGAGTGCTAACGAGCATGATCTCATCAAATTACGTCATTACGACGAATTAATTCCCTCTGCATGAATGGAAGTCAACCTTCGATCTTGGAATGCAGTCGATGCTTGCCTTCGATTTATGAAAAGTTTGCACACTTCTAGAACTTGTGAGCTTTGTATACTTCTAACAAGTTACAATAAAGCTCCTCTACGTATCTACTTATAATACTTCCTTGAAGACTCTGAATCTTTATGCAAATTCAATTAATTTACGCAGTTGGATGGTATGTTAATACGTACTTTTCCTGGTAAAACAGAATATACATTGTATTTGAGTGAATTGAGGTTGCTAAATGCATGAGATCCTTAATTTATTTAGTACTATTGATGAAAGTATAAATGTTTTGAATTTTCTTCATTGGATCAGATGATTGAAATACACCAAGCCATCTATGGGTCTCTCAAAATATTAAAATATAAAATTATAACATGCTATTCTCGAACTTCATTTTGACGGCTTCAAAAATCTTTATTTGAAGCGAAGGTCACTAAAAGACATTCATATTATGTCCAATTTTATTATATTCTATTATATTCTTTACCCAATAAGATACTTAAAAGAACAATGGAATGCCTGCTTTTGTTCCAATCATTATGAATTACTTTATAAGATGTTATTTTGCATAAAAATCCGTAGTCTACTTATAGTTCATTCAAGAAATGTTTCCCTAATTGCTCTCTAATTTCCTGAACATAGCACACTATACTCTTCAGCAGTGAATACTCGCGAAAAGCTTCAAATCCTAAGCGCGAAACTCCGCTCAAACCCATGAAATCCGGATCCCCTAAACACCGAACCACGATCCTCGGTCAGAAATTCAAAACTATTGAACAACTAACAAAATTATTCCACCAAACATGGCAGACAAGTTAAAAACCCTCTAGCTTTCGCCATCACCGAAACAATTTCCAAGCTCCAGACTCCTGGGCGCCAAACATCGGCCAGCTCCGTCCAGTTCCAACAACTTCGTCCTGGAGGAGATCACCGGCCCCGTTCTCAACTATCAAACATGGGAACAAGCGAGCCAGGGAGGAGAAGGCGACGCGGGGATGGTTGAAAAGTAAACCGAAACAATGTCACCGGAAACTTGCGGCCAGTTGATAGCGGACAGATAGTCGAATAAACAGGATTCTCCAGAAGGATACCGGAGTACGAATAACGAGAGTCGCGGTGCACGGTGGTGCGGGCTATCAAGAGACGATGTATACGAACGCCTCCGGCATTCCAGCTTTGAGGACGAATCTAGCCGTCTTCCTGCGTCTATCTCTTCCTGCAAATTCCCTCCGTTCCCCGCCACTCGCCGCCCCTAAGACCAGAAACTCCTTTCACCAGGCGTTCAAGGCGACGCCTTTTAGCTGCCTACCGTGTCTCCCGGAGACTGCCTGGCATCTCAAGACTTCGGGACAACGGGAGCGTGTTTTGCGAGGCGGGAGGACCAGACAACGACGACGATTAACGCCCAAAAACACCAAAATTCTAGGCGACCACGGCTAATAAGACCGTGGACAATTTGCCACGGTGCCCTGTGAGATCCATCGAGGACATCCATCATCCGTTGTCGCTGGGGCTGTTCCCGCCCACCCAGAAAACGAGCAAATCGGTCATGGGTAAATGTTAATAACGGGCCTCGCGGGTGAGTAATGATCCCTGCCGGTCGAAAAGTGGAGCGAACGGAGACCAGGAAGAACGAACTGGTTCGTGGAATTTCGATGGATCCTGGGAAGGAAGTCCAATGACTGCGGGTCAAGCTTACCGATGATGACCGTTAATGCGGCACTCGGAGTCGGTTGTTGGGTACAGTGAGCAGGAATTGCACTGTGATTGCTGATTTATGGGGTTTTGTACTGTTACTTGAACTGGGGAGTAGTTGGTAAGGTGTTAGGAGAGATTGTATAGAAGAATAGGAAACAAAGAAAATATATAATATGGTATGTAAAGCTGAGAAGTCTGAATGTGTAAAGCACAATTAAGATAAGAAACTTTGTGGATATTTAAGAATAATTTTATTTTATTCTTAATACGGGGAAATGTTTAATAAAGAACAGGAATTTCAGGTTGACTTATGTCTTTGTTAGTTGATTTTTCGTAGACTAAGTTCCTGAGACATCCGTAAGTGTTGGTAAATCCTGATTCGTTGAGTTCCCTTTCTATTGGGTAAAGTTTCATAAATATTTTAATTGTTAGTTATTAATAATCTATCCTGAATTATTATGGCATTACTACCACTGAAGCATTCAACATCTTCATCAACATAATATATGGGTGCAAAGTATTTAGCCATTTCAGAATGTAACTGACTAAACTTGTAGGCTGTCCTAATTGTAATCCTCTACTTTTTCTGAATAACACTATACCTAACAGAGTTTATTTAATCGACCTTTTGATAACAAGGTACAGCCAAAAGTTTACTATTCAACAACTAAATTTTCCGTAGCAATTTACAAAATTACATTATCAGAGTATCATTTTTATCTAATGAAAAGTGGGCTTCATGGCGTAAAAAATTCCATTAACATACTAACTACCCACAATGAACATTTAAACTTCAGTATATGCTCCGAAAGGTAAAACGCAAAACTATAAATTTCATAAAATTAAAAAATAATAAAACAAGAAAGAGCACTAGTTCCATCGAGAATTCGAACGTATTCGATCTAACAACGGACACGTTAATAAGCTGTCAAAAAGCACAGTATCAAGGATATTAAAAAATACACATGAGTTTATCTGACTTTGCATTAGATATCGCTGCTTCCGCCGAAGTTAAATTGTAAGTTGGTGCAAGGCGTTCGTAGTAAGTAATCCGAATATAATAATTAAGACAAAAGTAATCCGAGCCGGGCGTTCAGGGTAGCAACAGCAGCCGGAAACGAGGACGGTACAATTCAAACTTGGAATGAGATTTCCGGAACCATAGGAGTTGGAAGAAGTCAGGGACGACGAGGACCTCGCATGAGTCAGATAATGGCGCGTATCCTCCGACTGGCGAAATAACGATTCGGGTCATAGGGCAGGAAGTGTCTTTGCTTATCGCCATTACGTAATTTGCCCCGGGAACGTGGTAACGGTAGAGCAGCCACGGTCAAAGAGCTAACTGGACCTGCGTGGTCCCTACGGTGCGTCGACGCTGACTTGAATTCGAAATTCCTGGTCCGCCGGTGATCGTCCCCGGAAACACATAATGTCCGGATCTCTCAGATCCATTGAATTATGTCCAGTGCATTACGCCACGGTATTCCGCCGAGAGCACTGCTCCTTGGTTCGAAATGGAACACGTGTAATCGAGAAACGGTAACGAAAAAAGTTCCCGGGAATTGTTCGATGTGATAATTTATGATTGCTTGGAGTGTGTTCGTAGTGTGATGTGTAACTGTATAGGGGACAGTGAAATTTCTACTGTACTTTTAACGTAATAAAGTCTTTGGTTCGTCAATCGGTAGAAGAATTATTTTTATACAGTTTGTTCAATTGAAATAATTAATATTTACTATGCTCGAATTCCTAGATCTTCATGATTTCAGAAGTGGTATTCCTTTATGAAGTTATTGTAGCTTCAGTGTCAATGGGATTTAATTCTAAAATTAATCTGTCCAAGGAACTTTGGTGAGTACTGAATTCTATAATAACAATTGAACGAAAAGCTTATGTAGGATTTATAGTTGGTCTAAATATGGGCTACCACTTGTGCTTCAGGACTTATTGTCGAACTTGTTGAAAGTTTTTAAAATGTAACACTTCAATGTTTCTAAAACTTGTTTGCTTTATGTATATAAAGTTAAAATAAATTTCTTTCATTTTTGAGTCGTAGTTTCACAGTATTCCCGCTATGGTGAAGCCTTTAATATGACCGTGGCCTGTATTTGGACCACCTCCTCTAACTTTATAACAGAAAAGTTCCAAACTTCAGAATTATCCGATTCCAGATTTCACAATTAACACTGCCGAGATTCTACTAATTATTGTTATTAAACGGAAGATTTGAAAGGTGGACACCTTCTTGATTCACCAATTGCAGACAACTGACAACGTAATGGAGTTGCCACGGTACGATGAACTGCAAACAGTTCCAGTCAATTGCCACGCGA